GTATATTTTTCATCGCGGCTCAATTTAATTGAGCTTTCATGTACCCAAAAGTCTGTCAGTCGTGCCTAGCAAGCCCATTTGGTCAGGTCAGGTTATTAAAAGCATTATGAATAAAACGCCAGCTAAGCTTGGCCATTTGGTCAAAATAAGAGTACACACCTGTATATACCTTATGCATATATATATGTATATATATATGTAGTCTGTTGTTACTTTGTGGGTCTGCTGCAGCTGGGACGTTTGTGCCTGCTAATTGAATTGGCTGATGCCTGCTGCTGTGGACACATCTCTCTGTACACCTGTCGCACACACACACACACATATATATATATATATATTTATATACATATATGAGTATTTACACGCACGTGCGCACAAGAACTACTACAGCGGCGGTTCCGGCTGCCTGCCACGCCCACTTGTCGCACACAGTCAATGCCCAATTCAGTATTCCCAATGGCGTGCACCTTAATACGCATTCAAGCGTACAAAGGGCGTATGAGTGCTGCGATATTGCCTTTCTGCCAGATATCTGCTGTTATCTGACTCAATGATGACTATGACAAGGATGCCATTTTCAGTTTCGTTTCGGGTTTGCTTTTCTTTAGCAGCCGCCTCTCTTCCCCACTGTCTCTTTCTCTCTCTCAGTCTCTCGCCCTGCCTTTGCGGGCGTTTAATTAAATGAAGTCGTTTGCATTAATGTTGTCATTACGCATTTGCCTACGGCGCGGCGCAGCAGCTCGGCAAGTGTCGGGTAGCAAAGGAGCAGCCGCAGGAGCTGGAGACGCTGTGGCACGAAATTCATTACATAAATGGAGCCCAGGTGCCGTCTATTGTCCATGTCCTGACATATGCGCAGCGGCAGCGTTACATACAAATTTGTATTATCAGACATCGGGGTTCATGAGTTCAAATTCGATATGACAACACGTCGCCTACAGCTCGATGATAATTTCTAACTTAATGTTGATTGCAATCATTTCGTAATTGCATTTGTACAGCTATCTGTGAATTGAGGAGCTTTGCAGTCTGCTAAAGATTTTGTAACTATTAATTGTCGCAAATCAAATGCACACTTGACACAAGTTGATGAGAGGTCATAGAGGTTAAGTGATTGCGAAGCCCTCATGGGGTTGTGCTCTTGTAGCAATATTTCCATTACTATCAATTGAGATAAATTTACTGTATCTATTCACACAGTTAGTAAATTGATTTTATTCATAGATTTAGTCCCAGTTAATATGCAATAAGTTGATGTGCTAAATCCTTGCAACCTTTAGCTTAGATGAGGACTTTACGAATCAAACCATAAGTTTGCCTAAAGAAAGTATTCGTTGAAGACATGATTTTTTAATTCTTGAATGAAGCAATTTTATTTTTAATAAAATAGGATGCGGGCTACATAAACCTTTCCCGTTCGATATCTTATCAAAAAGGATAAAATATTGGATTCGGGTTTGGTTCGGCTATTTTTTGACAGCTTTTTATTTGTCCAAGCTCGAGCCAGTTGTTCTTTCCTTAGTTTAGGCACTATATCATTTATAAGATTTACATGTTATATTGAACAGTCTGAGATATTACTCTTACTTTCCAATCATATAGATGGAAATTTTAATTAAAATGAAGACGCTTTCGACAAGATATGATACCATAGCTTAGATAAAGTATCCAGAAAGATGTTACGACTTAAAAATGAAGTTTCCTGATAAAACGATCTAGACTGATTCCTTGTGCTACGTGTGCTTCTACCTCGATGAATGGTTGAGTTATTGCTACTAATTAAAATGGTGTCGCGCTGCAGCAAACACGAGCTGATGACCTGCTTGGTGGTGTTTGTTAACTGCACCATGCTGCACAGGTCTGGTGTCAGCTCTGATGTAGACCCCATCCAACAGCGAAGAATGCATGTGGAAATTGTGTGGCACTTCTGCCAATCCATGCACCATGCACCATGCATGTCTGTGCTGCCAGTGGACTCTATATTCGGTTAACTCGGTTTATTCGTTCTAATTCAGTGATTCAGTCCGTGGCTGCACTCAACGTCAATTTGGCCACGCGTGTGCGTATGGCCATCATCTCTGCTGAGTCGCGAACGTGGTGCGCTGGTTTATGTTGCAGTTGCAACAACTTGTGGCCGTTGTTGTCTTTGCACACGCTGATTGTTTGCTTGCCAGGCGCAGCAATATTGGGGCACAAATCAAATCAAACACGGTTTCAAGCTGCGCCAGCAACCGTCGAGGCAGCCCACCAAGCTGCCAATTCATCCACGAAAACGACCTCAAGTTTTGTGCGTCCACCAAGCGACTAGGCAGCCAGGCAGGCAGGCTGGTTATTTGTATGGGCATCTACCTGTCAGCTGCCACCTGCCACCTGCCCACCTGCCACTTGTGTCGATTGGTTTTTCATTCCTTTCGCACACACAAAACGTTGCCGCTCCTGTTGACCCAGCAACATGGCAAAAAGCACCGAGATGTGGGCCGACTGGCTTCTGGCCGAATGACCGAAAGGCGACCGGCTAACCGTGTTCTTAATTACTGCAAACTGGGGCCGCGTCTGTGCGGTGCTTGCGAGCATTTTAATTGCCTCCTTCCAAAAGAAAAAAAGGAAAGCAATAAAGAACTCAAATTTAGATTTAGGAGAAGCTGCCATGCAACAAAACTGGCAACTAAGGCCTTAGCTTGCCTCAAGAAGCACTTCAACTTGTGATACTCTGCAAATACTGGACCTTGCTGGGCTATCAAAGTGGAGTGTGCATAAGTAACTTAAGCTGATGAACCAAGAGCTTAGAAACAGTATCTTTGATTGCATTTTGGATACTCTACAAATAATTTTCCTGTCAAGCCGAAGAGTCTTCAAAGAAAACTCCGCTTGCTTGAAGGAGTAAACTTTCTTTGAAAAGTGAACAGCTGAGAGGCATGGCTGGCGCTCGGCTTTGGCTCGAGCTATTAGCTCGCCTTAAGGCTTAACGCGGAGCTGCTTATTAAATTTGAATCTCTGGTACAAACCATCTCGGCTTAGAAACGCAAAACACTAGTCTATTCATTTTATTTGACAGTCAAACAAAGAAGCGAGAGTATCAGCAAAAATACAGCACCTATCTGCAGTTAGGCTAGATGCGTTGGTAATTGTGTCGTTTATCCAGTCCATGTGGTACCACATCAGTGTAGATCGAAGGCGTTGAACTTGAGCCGCAGCCCAGGCGATGCGATACGATGGCTACCAGCGTGTTATCAATCATAGGCCCGCCGGTGTCGCCAGCACAAGGACTATTGTCCCCGTCCTCTTCAAAATTGCCTGCGCATAGCATTTCGGGATACAAGGTCTTCACCATGCTCAGACAAGTCTTACGATCCATCAGCTTCACAAAAACATGCACTAGATTGCCAGTCAGGGGACCACCCTGTGGACAGTGGGGCAAGTTGAATGACTGCGAGTGGGTTAATGCCACATCTCACCTTGAACATACGTCCCCAGCCAACCACCATATAGATGATACCATAATTGGGTTCCGCCTTGGGCAGGTTAATTATATCGATGCTAGGATTACCTGTTGGCCACGAATCAAGCTTGAGCAGCGCAATATTGTTTGTGCTGCGTTGTACAAAATTATCCGCCACAAAGATCCTTTGCACCTTATTAGTAACTGTATCTTTGACGGCTATTAGTCGGTTGGGTGTGCCGCCAACGACAACAATAGATCGCAATGTGTGCTTCACTTTGCGATTGCTTCAGACAGATTCGGCTTTCAGGCAATTTCGTATTCATAAGAACTCCAATAGATACTCACCTCATAGTACACGCAGCAGCGGTAAGAACAAACCTGGGCGCAACTATGGAACCCACACAGAAATGATTGTCTCCAAAAATGATCTGCGGCTTTTGCGATCGTATGGAAACAACATATTTGGCCACCATCATTGTCTGTTCATTTTTTAGAGCTGAGGTAAACGTTCGTACGTTCCACAGTTTTGATATCGGCGCGCACGATCGCCTCCAACATCAGATATAGCGCAGAATATCTAAAACTGAATAATTTCGGTGTTGCATTTATACAAGTTTTGTAAAGTGGAAGAATTCGTAATAGAGCTGAAGGACGAGATGGTAATGCATATTCCCAGACCCAACTAATGCATGTTAATGTGTGGAGAAATCCCCTTAAAAATATTTTTTTCGACTGACAACTAGTGTTTCAAATGTGTGTGCTTGACTAGGGAAAACCAGTACTCAGCTCCAATTTGCGGGAATAAACATAACTTAGCTGTGCTTTGGTTTTTTTCTTTCAGCCGCGCACCTTAAAAATTGCATTCCTCTATATAATTTTTGTTGTATTTGACCAATCATTGATAAGTTTTTCTGGTTTTACGTGTGTGTATATCCACAACAGACAATACCTCTCAAAAGCTTGGGAAGCGTGGGAAAAATACTGATAGATGACGTGCATCCACTCGCCTGTTGATACCAACCAAAGTATATAAACATATTTATGTTAAAAATGACAACTTCTGCCGGCAACAAAAAATTTGCACAAATAAATGTGACCTCTTCTTTTACCGATACCTGGTACATGGCAATAAAAACTAACTTCGATATTATAATTAGGATACATATATTTCTCTGAGCCCAATCTAAAATGCCACACTGACAGTGAAAGCAAGGTGATCTTTATTATGGAATGCTGCGCAGCATTCATTATACTATTGATCCAATTTATGTGATACCACACATCCGAATAGACAGAGGGCAGGTAGTTTCTGCCACAGCCCAGCCGATAGGTAGCAATACCATACACAGTATCGTTCAAGATCATGGGCGCACCCTCGTCACCCTCGCAGGGATTCTGATCGACGCTGTCATTACTATGCTTGGCGCACAGCATCTCCTCTTTAAAGGTCATTAACATGCATTTGCATTTCTCACGATGCAAAGGGTAATATTGATATGCATGATGTTCGTAGCCAAAGGTCCGCCCTGTAAGTGAAATTGTGAAATATCTTAGCTGCAGCAACACCCTTAACAACAATTAACTCACCTTATATAATCTTCCCCAGCCAAGGACAGTGTAGCTCGTATTGAACGTGGGATTTGAGTTAGGAAGATTGATAATGCCAATGCGTGGATTATTTTTGGGAAACGGATCCCTTAGCAGCAGCACGGCAATGTTGTTGGTATTCTTACTGGTAAAATTAATAGGTACATATATGTTCTTAACTGGCAAATTCACAGAGACATCGTCAACGAACTTGAGCCTGTTCGGGGTGCCAGCCACAACGAGTATCGACCGGCTGGAGTACTTGAATTTGCTCTTGCTTTGGGCAAGGGACATACATTAAATTTGATCTAGCGGTCTACAAATGCATTTCTACCCACTCCATGACGCAATGGGCAGCAGTTAATACATATCTGGGCGCTATTATCGCACCACAACAAAAATGATTGTCCCCAAAGTAAAGACGAGGTGTACGGGACCGGATGGAGACCACATATTTGGCCAGCGCTTTCACTCGGTTCTTGTCGTAGTCAGGCGTTGAAAGGCGTTTCACGCGATTGTCAGATTTAGTGGGTTCTACGCACAGCAACAAAAACAGCAGTAACGTCTCTTTCACTGAACAATTTCGATAGTTCATTTCGAGCTACAAGTGCTTCCAATAGTTTTTATGAAAATTTTGAATAAATTTCCTGGCAAATTATGGGTCGAATTGTGCTCCAATTCCGACCACTATATCCATCCTCCGGCATTGCAAACTAACTTGTTTATGCGCGAATTAACTAACTAACTATTTATTATCAAAATATTCCAAGTACAGTTAAAATCATAGAAAAAGTGTTTTTAAATGTAGTTCACTTTTGAAATATGTTTTCCCTCAAGGGGTAAACTGGGTATACAGATATACAAATCATTTTCAAAATAATGAAGCGTTGACAGTTTCCTAAATCGGGATTTGCTTAAAGCTTCCAGTTCCCTTAATGATAACATCATCAATTCTATACATTTTTCAATCATGCGAATATTTCGGTGCCTGAACCGGCGAAAGTTTGAGATATCTTTTTTCAACACCTTATCTTCCCGCATTACCTTAAAACGATTGTCTTAAATCTTATATTTTAAAATGAGCTTGAAATAGGTCGATTTAAGGAATAAAAGGTATTCCGAAATTAGTCAAATAAAAAAGTTATCAGCGATTTTTGCTTGCAGGTGCAATTTCCCATCGAGTGCTGTGATTGAAGTAGAAGTTTTAGTTTTCTAGCGTAAGATTTGGGCCGAACGTTGACCACCAACTTGTCAGTCAGGACAAACAGTTATATATACGTAACATGTATAGATATGTATATTGTATCTGCAAAGTTTTTGAATCTTTGGCACTCCTAAAATAACTTCTCTTGCTTGCCAATAATATTATGTTTTTTTATAATATTGCTAGACTACATTTAACATTTCAATTTGTTGAGCAGATTATGCTTCTATTCGTTCGATTTGACGCTGTCAGTCAAGTATTTCTATTTCAGTTGAAAATTTGATTACATTTTAAATTCAGCTCCGGGAACTCGGCTCAGTTATGTTTTGGCCAGTTGTCAGTCAACGATTCTGAAATACTTTTAGTGGACTTCTGTGGCTGCGGTTGTGACAGAGCTTGGGTTGAAGTTCGTTCGAGCGGACAAACCCGCCTCAATGTCAATTCACTTGACAGCTGTTCCACTAAACACTTGACTATTGTAATTTTCAATGTGTCAGATATGTGCGGGTGGTATATGATGGGGGGCTTGGTGTTTCAAGTTTTTATTACTTGACTTCCGTTTTATGTATTTTTTGTATATTGCGGCAATTCTACAGCCACTTGCAGCTACCAGTTGCCAACTCTTTTAACTGTATGTGTGTGTGTGTGGCGTTGCTCTCAAGTATGTTTTAAGCAAAGTTTGCGCATAAACTTTTAGGCAAAAGTATATCTGGCTACAATGCTCAAATATTTTCATTTGCTTGTGGCAGCTGCACCAAATAATTGTGGCTCTGTTGGCTATCTCGCCCTCGCCCCCACTGTCTTTGGCCACATCGTGACTGGCCGCTTCGCTGATTTGTGGCAAGCAAATTTATTGACAATTCATGGCGCCAACACCACCACCACCACCACAAACACTAACACCATGAACACCAACTCCAGCTCCAACTCAACAGCCGCAAAAGCTATTCAAGCGGTTTTTTTCTGTTGAACTTTGGCGCAAGTTTGTCGCAAGTTGTGCTTTCCGGCTGGCCGCCCGTGACAAACTGCCTGCCCATTTAAGCCGCAGATTTTTCATTTTTCATCTTTTGCGCCTCTTCTTCTGCTTCTTCTGTAAGCACTCGCAATGTCCAGACGGAGCGCGGCGCGGCAGAATCTGTGCCTGCAAATGGCCAAAAGACAACAAAGTTTAAATTAATGGTACTCAACTATTAGCAAAAATTAAAAAGCCGCCACGGTTTGAGTTTTCATGCGAGTCAAGTGGGGGCGAGTGGCGAGCTGCTGCGGAAAACTTCAAGAGGGCGTGGCTAGGGCGGCTGGCAGCGGTCACGCCCATGGCCTGAGCCACAGTTATTGGGGCCAGAAACAGCGGCAAACTGTGGGCCAATTAGCGCTGACAGCGAATTTAAGTCGAGCAACAGGCCAGAATATCAAATGTGCGTGCGTGTGTGTATGTGTGTGTGTGTGTGCGCGTGTGTGCGCGTGTATGTATGTGCATTGTCTTACATTCGTACACACACAAAAAACTTTAGTCTACGTGACATGAAAATGCACTTTCACTTGGCCAAAAATGGCTGCCAGGCAACTGTAAACTGTAACTGTAGCTGTAACTGTAACTGTAATTTTAACTGTAACTGTAACTTTAACTTCAATTTTAACTGTTAACTGTAACTTGGTCAACTGACTAAAAGTAAATGGCTGTTGCGGCTGCTAACACATTTATTAAGAATTTATGCACCTGAATTAATAAATTAATTTGACTGATTTGAGTGTGTGTGCGTGTATGTATGTGTGTGTGTGTGTGTGTGCGTGTATGTATGTGTGTGTGTGTGTGTGTGTGTGTGTGTGTGTGTGTGTGTGTGTGTGTGTGTGCGAGCGCTGTGTATGTGTGTATGAGTATCTGTGTATGTGCGGCAGCTAAATTAATTCGAATTTATTGCGCAACTCGAGCAGCGGTAAGTGCAAATACATGTCGCTCATACGCCGCGTTTGCCGCTCAAATTAATTAAACAATTTTGCATTGTACGGCAACAGGGACAGGGCGGGTGACCTTTGAGGGGCAGCAGGAGCTTAGTCGGTCCTCAGCCCAGGGCTGATGCATTGCTTTTGGTGCTCTAATTGAATTAAAGGCGCTTCAAGACAGCGCAGCGCAATAATTAAAAGCGGTTGGCCTGATAATCAATTGGCAGCACAGCTGGAGACAGGTAAAACAGCAACAACAACAACAAGAACAGCGGTAAGAAAAAAACAACTGCTGAAAGTTGACAAAGCAACGGCAGCCACAGTGGCCGTAGCAACTGTGGCAGCAGCAACAGGCCAGACAGACAATTGGCAGCATTCGAGTAATAGAAATATATTGGCGCCGCACGCAGCTTCAAGCAAGCTTCTTGGCCATGGCAGTCAAGTGCCACTAGTGCTGTTCTTTGTGTTTATGTGTGTGTGTGTGTGTGTGCGTGAATTGCCAAGTAAGCCAGTTGCCAGCAGCTGCTTAAAACTAATGAACCACCCGCTCGCGCGTATGTGTGTGTGTGTATGTGTGTGCATACACGCATCCCTTCATGTGTTTGGATGTCTCATTTTCTTCTACATGCTCCATAAAGGCGCACGTAATTAAATCTAACTTTATTAGCACATTTGTTCAAGTGAGCAAACTCTTTGCATGCTGCCAAGCGCTCATAAGAGACCCACAGCCCAAAAACAAAAGTCAAGGAAAACAAAAGAGAAAAAACTCTGTCGATTATCTACATACCTGCCCATTGTCCACACGTGCCAGATGTTCAATGAATATTGCTTAAATAAGCCATGAGAACTTTTTCAAAGGTTTTTTCCACTTTAGTCGTAAGAGTGCAAGGAAAGTCAAATTTAAAACAAATGGCAACTTGGAACTCGAATTCAGAATAATATATCTACTTTTTGTAGCATACTTTTCGGGATATTCTAAATAAAATAAGGCAAAGTTCACATATGGTACATATTGGCTTGCGCCTAAAAGTATGCTACGGACAGATGCAAATATTTTTGTTTCTTAGATGGAGGTGTTCAGGTGTGTTATAAATGAAACAGAATATTCTCTTGCCATACAAAATAACTTAACAACAGTTTTTGTTTGGTTTGGAAGAATAAATAAATAAAATTGGAGCTTGTTAATTAGAAAACTTCAATATATTAAAGACACTAGTATTTTACTTTTTTGTGGAAGTTTTGTTATTTGTATAGATATATTTACATATACATAGTTATATATTTACAATTTTTAAATATAGAGCACAATTGAAGTCCTTACAAAATATTGAAGAAAAAATCAAATTAATAATAAGACTGTAGTCTTTAATATAAAAAATTTGTCTATGTTAAAAAAACATTTTAGAGCCTTACAGCTTAAGCATTAGCTTACTTTCTTTTAGAACTTTAGATACAAAACGTTAAGTGCATTTCAAATGAAATTTCTAAACTGAATTTTGAATCGTTACGAAAGTGAAATTCTCAGCATGTTTTATATATTATATTTTAGTTGTTTATTTTTTTTACCATTTGCTCTGCTTCTTGACCATTTTGCTACCCTTTGCCCCCTCAACCTTATGTCAATGGAAAATAACAATTAGCTTAAGCTTTATCCAGTATTTAATTTATACACTATAAATAAATATAAGTTGTTCGAATCTTGTTGTTGCTGTTAATTGTTGTTAAATGTTGTTGTTAATTGCAGTTGTTGACACCAGACACCTGTAGCCACAAAAAAAAAAACCACCAACCACTACATCACCACTGTCCGTCACTTTAGCTGCCCCACCCTCTTTTTCTTTATATTTCACTCTGTATATAGCAGCTTCCTTTCCAAGTACACACAAACGTTTAATATGGTTAATATGCATATAATCTTACTATCTGCTCACATTTCTCTTGTTTTTCAAAAATAAATAAAACAACAAATAAACAAAAACTCGGACATAAATGCAACAAATTATATAATTAATGCAAAAATCTATCAACAACAATTGCAAATGATTTCAACTGAATTGCTTGGATGGCTGCAGCCGAGCTTAAGAAGGCCACGCCCAGTGGCCGCTTGTGCCGCACAGCGGCCATTGATGGTGGTGACGCAGACGTCAACGCGGACGTCGACGCCGCCGCCGACGCCAATGCTGGCTGTGACGTCAACGATGATGCTGACGATGATGAACGATGGCAGCCAAATGTGCTGAATGCAACAACTGCAACACTTGACAGCAGACAGACCAAAACGACAGCAACTAAAATAACAACAACAATAGCAAAATATCAAAACAACAAAAGAAATACAACAACAACAGCAGCAACAACAACAACTAAAACCAGTCAAAGATTCGCGCCACGCGCTAGCTTTCCTGAAATAATGCAGCCACGGCTATCCCTGAACGGCATGCTAAATCCACCGTATCCATCGTTAATGCCATCGCCGCGTCCTCTGTACCGGGATCACAGCTCGAGGTCGATAAATCCACTGACCGCTTACGAGCAGCAAATGGCCGAGCTCGATGGCAGCTTCTATGGCAGCAATGCGGCATATTTGGGCGCTGGCATGAGTGGCAGCGCCGGTGGAGCCACCACGTGCACCAATCTGACAGTGGGCGGTGCTGCGACAGCAGCTTCTGCTGCTGCTGGTTGTGGGGGTGGTGGTGGTGGTGGTGTTGGCAGCGGTGCTGCCAGTGGCGGTGGTGGTGGTGGTGGTGTAGGCGGTGGTGGTGCTGGTGCCTTTCATACAACCGAACTCTCAATAACACCAACAATGCCAGCTGATGAGCAGTTTATTGATTTGGGTAGCCTGCGTCGCTTCTCAATCGATCGACAGAGCTTTCTCGGTAAGACTGCAGTGTGTCTGTGTGTGTGTGTGTGTGTGTGTGTGTGTGTGTGTGTGTGTGTGTGTGTACTCCTGCTGTGCGCTTTGTATACACTGTGCCCCATAATTTCATCAATTAGCAACCCGTTCAACTCGAATTTCTCGTCTCTTCTTCAGATCTAGGCCCCAAGTTTGGCATGTCCCAGCCGAAATTCGGCCAGAGCGTCTCGCAACAAGGTTTCTTCACGTCGCATGACAGCTTGGCCACACCATGCGCCTCCAGAGCATCGAACTCGCATATGGCCACCGTAAGCACTGCCTCCGAAATGGATTTATTGCACAACAAGCAACGCCCCAACAACAACAAATCGCGCGGCCGTCTGAAAACGACCGGCGGCGATCAGCCACTGCTGGGCACCTGGAATCGATCCACAGGCCGCGGCTCGCAGGATAACACGCTAAGTGGAGGTGGTGGTGGTGCTACCAGTGTGCTCATGGGGCATACACAATATGGCGGCAACTATTGCAACGGCACCGATCGGTGAGTACCCACTTTTATAATCTATTCTATAATCTGATTCAACTTCGTTTTCAACGACAGCTACCCGCGTTCGCGTTCGCAGCAGCAGTCGCACCACAATGCCGGACAAGCCACGCACCACCCATACCAGTTGCAGCACTCTGCCTCCACGGTGTCGCACCACCCGCATGCGCATGGTCAGTCCGCACATGGCGGCCCTGGTCCGCCCCATGGCGGCCATCCGCACCATCAACTGCATGGCGGCGGCGGTCCTGGAAGTGGGGGTGTCAGCGGACATTCAACACAGCATCAGAAACCGCATCGCACTGCCTCGCAGCGTATACGCGCCGCCACGGCCGCCCGCAAGCTGCATTTTGTATTCGATCCGGCGGGGCGGCTCTGCTACTATTGGTCCATGGTGGTTTCCATGGCCTTTTTGTACAATTTCTGGGTGATAATCTACCGCTTCGCCTTCCAGGAGATCAATCGGCGCACGATCGCCGTGTGGTTCTGCTTGGATTACCTGTCCGATTTTCTATATCTGATTGACATATTCTTTCACTTTCGCACTGGATATCTGGAGGATGGGGTGCTGCAAACGGACGCAATCAAACTGCGCACACACTACATGAACTCGACGATCTTCTATATCGACTGCCTCTGCCTGCTGCCGCTGGACTTTCTCTACTTGTCGATTGGCTTCAATTCGATACTGCGCAGCTTTCGGCTGGTCAAGATCTACCGGTTTTGGGCCTTCATGGACCGCACCGAGCGGCACACCAACTATCCGAATCTGTTTCGCTCCACGGCCCTTATACACTATCTGCTTGTGATATTCCATTGGAACGGCTGTCTCTACCACATTATTCACAAGAACAACGGCTTCGGCTCACGGAATTGGGTCTATCACGACTCCGAGTCGGCGGACGTAGTTAAACAGTATCTGCAGAGCTATTACTGGTGCACTTTGGCATTAACCACCATCGGGGACCTGCCCAAGCCCCGCTCCAAGGGCGAGTACGTGTTTGTGATATTGCAATTGCTATTCGGTCTGATGCTCTTTGCCACGGTGCTCGGACATGTGGCGAACATTGTGACGTCGGTGAGTGCGGCGCGCAAGGAGTTTCAAGGTGAGTGCATTATCACAAATAAGTTCTAATTGTTGGCCGGTGAATCGGTTATGAAGTGAAACGGGTTTGTTCCAAAAACAGCTGATTGAAATTGAAGAACTCTCGCTGGATTATGATTTAATCGGTTTAGAAACAAAACGGTTATGATTGATAGGTAAAGGTGTAGCTAGACATAAGAGATGAAATAAATTGAATTAGTATAACAAAATCGAACCGGTTGGGAACCGGTTACATACGTTTTAATTCGAAACACTTTAAACACTTTAAATGGGTAGATACGCGTATAGTTGGAAAACATAAAAGATGTCGAAAATGCGGCAGTCGAATCAGTTATGAACCGGTTATATGCATTTTACGGTGAAGCACAAATAGTTAATGAATAGATAGAAGTATAGCTTGAAGACATAAAAGATGAAGACAATTGGCATAATTGAACAATGCATTTTAGTTTGAAACGGTTAAGCTAAGAAGCGAGAGGGAATTCAGCTAAAGAAATATTACATAGAATATGCATATATTACGATTATGCGCTGTCAACATTTTATCACTATATAAGCATGTATACATCGATTGTTAATATAAAACGCCTTTGCAGAGAATTGTTTTAGTTGTTTGGCAATATATGAGTGCGTGTATAAGTATGAGTTGCATTAAAAATCAAACGGATAGATGACGAACAAGTCAAAAGCAGAAACGGTCCTAAAGCGGCGGAGGTAAAAGCTCGAAGGATTTTCGACACAACAAAAAAGGGGCTTGTGTACTTTGGAATGGTATAACAAGGACAAACAGTTTCCACTCGAAATGCTGCCTGATACGGTAAAACTGATCTTTAAAAAGAGTACAAGGGCAACACGTTTTTGGGCCCAAGCGAATTAAGGCCAACATATAATTATTAGGCTCAGGAGAGTACCATAAATCACAGCATACAATGTTGAAATGTAATCATTATCCGTTGTTGGTTTTTCTTTTTTGCTTTTCCTTCTTCTTCTTATTTTTGCAAATCCTTATCAAGACAATTTTAAGCTGGAACATATAAATTGTTGTTGTTTCTTTGTTTGGCTTCAATATTTACGAGCTGTCTGATTAAACTGTTGCTCAGAGCTAGGTTAGATACGCATACATATGGGAACAATAATCCGCAGCTAACATAGCAACAAGATGAGAAAGCTGGAGACACCAAACGGACAGACGGATGGAGCGACGGACAAACGGATGGGATACACGAATGATACCTGGGGGTAGAGACATTTGACAAAACAGAACAATGAGCAAAGCTCTCAAAAGTATGCAAAACTTTTTGGCTTTGCCATTTTAGCTGCTTAAATTGAGGAAAATGTTGTATGTGTGTGTGTGTGTGTGTGTATACGGGCAATTGTATACAATATATACAAATCCTGGCTGGCTTAAGAGACGTTGCTCCTTTTGTGCCTGACAAGACTCTCTACTCGTGCTGCTTGAGCAAACGCTCCTCGAGCATTTTGCACTGCCAGGCAGCCTCTTGTGAGCCCAGTAGGCCATGCGGCCATTAGCTAAATGAACTCGTTTATTTGCTCCATAAATAACTGGACAAAATGCAAGTGTCGCCATTGCAGTCGGATGGCGTCTTGTCGTTTTAATTTCAAAAGACCGCCCAAGTCAAATGCCTGGCAAGCAATTCAAGAAAATGGCAAAACCGGGGCTGTCCGAGAACGGACTCTCATTAGGCGAACGTCAGCTGAAAATATTAAGGCCACTCAACGGCAATGGGCCACAATGGCGAATGCCCAAGGGACAACGGATGCTAAACTTAGCAGTGGACATTGGCCGGCAGCTGGAGCCGTAGCTTGGGGCAAACAAAGCAATTCCTCTGCTCATTGATGGGCGTGGCAACAGTTTGCACCTCTACAGAGAGTAACTGCCAGATGCAGCATCAACATGTTTACACAACACTTTTTCATGTGCATGTGTGCATGTGTGTGTGCGTGTGTGTTGTGTGTGCGAATGTTGCATGCACACAAGAGAGTCGCAAGTGATTGAGGGCTTGAGTCTAACGGAGCGGGGAGTGAGGCAAAAAGTCAGCAAGCAAAGCTCAGCGGCTTAATGGACGAAACGTGCTGCTGCATTAATTTCTGGTTTTATGCACTCGAAACTTTTTCTCATATTTGCATGCAGCAAATCTCAATTTTTATTGCACCAGTGGAAATTGTGTATGCCTTTTTTTTATGAATACCGTGACGCCATTTCGCTGGGTCCGCCCGCATGCATATAGTCGAGAAATGCTCTTAATCCCACACGATGTTCGTTGTGGGTGTCCATTTCGTTAATTATTAAGCTGCTGTCCGCCTCGCTAATCACCTCACCCACGGTGGCCATCACGGTGCGCACATCGAGAGCGTTAAAATACCCGTCACCCTGGCGATCGAACACTTCAAAGGCTTTACGCAGATTCTCATCGCTCTCGACTTCGCGCAGCTTGGGCGCCATCACTTGGAGGAACTCCTTAAAATCTAAGCAGCGCAGTTCACCGACGTCCGCCGCGTCGATGAATTCGTTCAGGTCCGCTTCGGTTGGCTCGAAGCCCACGTCACGCATGATGAGGTTCAGATCACGGGCCTCAATGGACCCATTCCGATCCTCATCATATTTGTCGAAGATCCTTTTCAGCTCTATATGCAGCTCCTGGCCCATATACTGTGGCATTGTGCGAGCTAAACAGATTGGCCAGGGATATTCGCGAATTTTATTCAAAACTTTGTACGAAAACAAAAATAAATAACAATATAAAAAGTAAATAACTGATTCTCTAACAGTAAACCAACAAATAAAAACAAATAACGAGAAACGAACTGACAACCAACTCAGAGCCGCAACTTAAACTCAAGGGCTAATAAAACACTTAGGTGACCGTTGCGCATCGCTGAATCGGCAACTTTTCACGTAGTTTTTGCCCCAAAGCCGTCGCAACTTTTGCCTCCACCACAATAATAATACATCATATAACCATGGACATGCAACGAGGACCATCCATCAATTTGTCAATTCAGCGCTTGCCGCTTCGAGTGCGCGAGACCACAAGAAGCAAACGATGCTCGATGCCTGATGCCCGATGCCTGCTGCCTGATGCCTGCTGCTTGCTGATGCGGAGCGCTTCGCGGTGCGGGGGCGGGCTGACTGGAAGGTTGGTTGTGAGCAAGCAAAATCGCAATAAAAAAACATGACTGAAATCAAATGCAGCGTTTGGTGACGCTCAAATGCTCTTTAAGTGCGGCCACAAAGCGTATGTGTAATATATTGTCGAATATAACTCATGCGCCTCGTGGACCACATGTAAAAGCAGCGAATAAAATGGTGTCAACAGGAAAAGGTTAAGTAAAAAGAAAACACGGAGCGCGTTTGACATCTAACAAGTGCACTGCATTTTAAATTCTCAGCGTTGTTGCAGATTTCCATGTGTTATTCAACATTACAAGTTTTCGAAATTTGTGCAAAGGACCTTGTCAACTTTGAAAGTTTCTATGGGGATTCTTTTATTTAAAATTCTTGTCATGAGATTTTGCTCATAGGATAAAATGCAACTCATAGCTAAGATTTGCATACGTTATGCAACACTATAAACACTAGAAATATATATTTCAAAATTCTCATTTACTTTCTTGCTTTCATTTTCTGTCGTTTTTCAACACTCTACTTAAACTCCTAACGCATAACCCTTTAAGAAAAGAGCTTTAAGTCGCGTTGAAGCTTTAACTTAAACTTGAAAAAGTTGTTTGTGGTCCACTTCTTCTTTCAATTAACTTTCAGTGCAAGCTGTTTTAATAACTTCCGCTCGATTTATGAGTGTCATAGCATTAAAGGCTGTCTTACTAGGCTGCCATTAATCTTAAAGTTTTCGAAAGTACTTGCATTTCTTAAGAAAATTTACATTATCCTTTTAATGAGCATTTTCTTCTCTTTTTATTATTATTCTCATTTTTTTTATAATCCCGCTTGCAGCTGATGCAGCAATAATTATCATTAATAATTATTAACCCTGTAGCTTGACATGATCCCGCCGATCTGTGATATCTCAACCTTTTGGCATTTACAAACTCATTCAGTTTTGTTGCCATTGCTACCCTATTCTACTTTCTCTTTCTTCTATATTTTTTTTGCACGCACTTTGCAAGCAAATATTACAAATACCGCTAGTCATGGCTTAGGGCGCAACACTTTAGTGATGGCCTTCTGCTACATTAAGCAAACTCCCTCTGGCCAACAACTTAAAAACTTATATATTTACTTAGTAACAGGCACCCCGCTTCGCATCTCCGCATCGCAACATCTCCGCATCTCAGCATCTTCGCATTTTCTCTGTTACGTACTCATCATGGGTTTCTTACTCGTTCAGTTCGTTGTGTTGGGTTGAGCGCATGAAAATTGATTTTCAAATAGTTGGCCTGCCTTTTTTCAAATTTGATTGACGTTATTACATTACATAACATCACATCAGGCACTGAGGCAACTTACACGCGCACACACATACACACAAACACATTGGTACGTATACAAGCAGCTGGTTTAAGTTATTCATCCATTTAGCCCCACTTAGGGCCCGGTTGGCTGAATGGCTGGCTGGTTGCCTGCCTGCTTGCCTGGCTGACTGGCAACAACAAGTGGAAAACTGTCATTATATTTGAGTTATTGATGGTTTTTCAAAATCATTTTAGCAACAATGTTGTTGCCACATACACCAGCACACTCGCACGCCGCAAGTTACATTTACGCTTAGTTAAGCGCCATAGCTGCGGCTTGTTAACGCCAAACAGACGCAAACTTTAAACGCTGTGCGAATTCTGTTGCTGTTGTTATTGCTGTTTTTGGGTTTCGCATAAATCCAAAAACGCTTTTCAAATATGCCATTCAAAATTATGTTAATTTGTTGCTAGCTGGCGGCTGCCTGCTGCCTGCTCTTATGTAATTATTATTGTAAATAGTTTTTTATGCAAATTATGCGTCAGCAGCGCTGTCAACGCTTTTGATTGATGTTGTGCACACAACTTATCTGTGTTTGGTGTTCGTGTGGGTGTGTGCTGTGCCTGTGTCTGTGTGTATGTGTAAGTTATTCGCTCTGCTGCTAAAATTGCGGCTGTGGCTGTGGCTGCGGCTGCGGCTGCGGCTGTTGCTGCTTCAGCTGGTCATTTGCAACGCCTTTTGCTGCAGTTGTTTACTGCAATTAAAACAATTTATGCGCTCAATTTACTCACACACACAGACGCACACACAGGCTCACACGGATATATACACTAGCTGGGCACTGGCTCAGTACTTTGAGACTTGTAGTACTTTACGTGCGAGATTTGCAGCCATTTTGACTTGAACCCGTTTCAGTGCTTCGTCTCACTCGCGCACTGGCTAGCTATGTATGTTTGTGTGTGTGTTTTTATTACTTTTTTTTTTTTTTTGTTTTTCTTTTACTTGCAGCAATTGTTGCTGTTGCTTTTGCTCTCGCACAATGAGCGCGTGTCTAAAAATAGAATTGAGCGACGTACGCACGAGTTGCGAACGGCTGAGCGAGCATTGGCTTGAGAGAGGGACGCACAAATTCGCAGTCGGTGCGCTCTTTTGCCTTTTGCCATTGGCTTTGCTTCAGTCTTCAGTCAAGGCGAGCAGCAGCGGCAGCAGCAGCAGAGGCAGCGTCCATTATCCACTTTAGCTTGGCCGACTTGCCAGTGTTGGGTAGCGTGTGTGTGAGTGTGTGTGTTTGTGCTGCTGTTGTTGTTGTTGTTCGTTTTGCTGTTTGCTTTCGCTTGCCACAGCTTCAACAACAACAATAAGAGCAACAGTAATGTGCGTTTGTGTGTGTGTGTATGTGTGAGTCTTTCTCGCTCTGTGCATGTGTATTTGTGTGTGTTTATATTTGCTGCTGCTGCTGCTGCTGCTGCTTATGCCCTACAGCTGTAACCGTAACCGTGAGTGCGCTCCTATGTGCGACTGTGTGTGCGTGTCTGTTTGCGTGTTTGTGTGTGTATTCCAATCAATATTGTAGACGCAGTCGCCGCTGTTGGCCGCTTTTGCCCATTAAGCTGCATGTACGCCAACTTACCGTCGTATTTTTAGAACATGGCTTTTTTTTGTAGCTGATGCTGCTGGCATTGTATGGCATGTAGCTGCCCTTAAAGGGCAAAATATTCCATTATCCTTGAAAAGCGAATTTGCCAAGGATATTGCTAGTGCTGCCACGCTGCTGCAGCTGCAGCTGCAGCTAACATGCGCATTGTTATTGTTAGTGTTATTGTAAGTGTTATTGTTATTGTTATTGTTATTGCAACGCTGGCTAACGGAGCGCATTTATATTTGTTTGCCGCCCGAACAAATCTACGAGAGCATCCAACATCGAGCATCGAGCACCCAAAGTACAACATACAACATTCAACGCCACCCGGCACCTCATCCAGAGCGCGTGTGTTCAGCAGTAACCGCATATGCATAATTAATGATACAAATTGGTTTTTCTGGAAAACTCAGGCAAGCGCAAAAGAAAACCCAACCATCAGTCTTTGCAGCGGAAGCTGCGAGTGCTTACAAAAGCGTGGCCAATATTTAATTATATCAGCTTTTAAAACATACCCCGGTTTCTCTTACTGGTTTTGTTAATAGAAAAAATCATGACTTCTAAAGCAAGACTTTTAAGCCCAAGATCAATTGTCTAATCGAACCAGTTGTTTTCGTTAAGGTGGTTATCCACATCCTTGAACCAAGGTTTTGGCTTAATCCATAATTTACGCTTTAATTTATAATTGCTCGTTCTACTGAAAATATTGCCAGCAAATATACAAAAAATCGACCATCATTGTTGTCCTACCAAATGTGGTCCCTCAATAGATTTCTATTGTGCTTAAATTCTGGATTGGTTCGGGCTTCGGCTCGGCTTCATTCAAGACAAGAGATATAATTTTAGCTCCAATCCTTCTTAAAAAAAAAAAAAAATGAAAATCCAGGGCTCGAATGCAGCTTGTAGCCTGGCATGGAATACATGGAATACAATTTTAAGCCTATCTAACAAAAGACTTTAAGAGTTATGAATGGGCAATTTTTCGTTTTGAACGGCAAATACCTATCATCTTGCATTTAACCTAGAATAATTGCTGCATTGTAAGCCGAAAACCACTTTTCAATCGTTTCTATGCTACTTTCCAGCTAGTTTTCAGTCCCACAACATATCAGCTCAATATTAAGCTGTTTTCTATTTTTTGTACTTCTTTTCAATGCAGTTCCGCAGAGAACTTTTAGCTTTTTCATTTTTTCATAGCCTGCCCATTGCTGGACTGGTTCTTTGTCCTAGCAACTGCATGCACATGCACATCAGCGTCGCTCTTAAGTGGTTTCTAGTTAGTTTGAAATTTTCACTTGGCCAGTTACCCACAACGTATATGCATTCAGCTTGGCCAGCACCCCGAACCGAACATCCCCTTGCTGTGTGCTCTTCGTGTGCTTTTTGTCTTGGGCTTATGAAAAGGCAGGAAGAGCAAGTTTTTGTCACGCATATTTACTGTTTGTATAAACTCGTGGTGCCACCCGCTCTCTGCTGCATCCTGCTGGCCTCAACTGAAAAACTTGCTGCAGCTTGTTTGCCAGACAATGGCTTGAACTTTTGCACCCCAGATTTTTATATTGTTGCGCCACAAAAGGCAAAAACTCACACATGATGCCAAGTTTTTTTATTTTTTTCATTTCTATTTTCATATATTTTTTTTTTTTGCAATACGCACTTAATCCCAAACCCAGCGACAATTGTCTTGATTGCCAGACTGTCAGACGCGCTAGCTGTCGGCTCAGAG